AAGGGAGAGGTGGGGGAGGAAGGAAGGGAGAATATTTTCTCTATTTTCATTTCATGTTCATTTTATTTTCCTTTCACTTTTTTTTTAATGGCCACTTTGGAATCACCTGGTTTTTAATCTAATATATTAGTGATAAAAAAGCAGGAGATGGTTATTTTAAAGCCCATCATGGGGGTTTTTTTAGACTTCAGACACAATTTTCAGGTCCAAATCCATGACTTTTTTAAAAAAAACCCTAAAGACTTTTACCTAAATAAACTCTGATGTGGCATCAAAATCATTTCAACTCCAAAGATCCCACCTTAGATACCTTCACAAAATGGGTCTCCTCTTCCTTCATGGCAACTTTGCTGACTACAACCACAATTTGAGGTCACAAACATGTTCGTTGTTTCCTTCAAGTCTGATTTTAGGAGAAAAACCCCAAAACAACCCAAAAAACAACATTATTATGAAAATTTATCTCCATGCGTGGTTTTTTCAGGCTACCCAGATGTCATCTGCTGGGTAAAGATGCCCTTAGGTCATGACTTTCCAGGAGGACTTATCATCATGGGGTAGTTTGGGGACAAATACTCAACGATTTATGATCTGAGGGGTGTCAATAGCCCATCTTGGGTGTCATATGTTAGATGAGCCAGAAAAAAAACCCCCCAAAACCCCCCAAATTTACAATTTTTTGGGGTGAAAAGTCTTGATCTAAGGTCCATCTTGTCCTGTAGAACGTTGTTAATCATTTGCATGTGGTTTCATCGTGGTCTTTGCTCCTGATGTCCTTACGTTGTTGTTGACACCCCATTTCTGAACATCAGCAGCATGAGTTTTACCCTCCCCATGAAGGAAATTGGGGTGTCAACATGGGAGGAGAGATGAATGAGGGGTTTGAGGTGGGGTTGGGGTTGTTGAAGGATCATGAGCTGCTTGGTGGGGTTGTTGAAGGATCATGAGTTGATCAAAGAGCCAAAGACTACAACGCAGTTGTAGATCTTCCTCTAGAACATCTGGAACCAAATCTTGGTCTTCATTTATCATGATTTGCTTTGCTCTTTTTGTTCTTCACCTTAAACCTTAGTTGAGGGGATGAAAAGTTGAGGGAGATGTTCATCTTTAACTAGGACCTTCCTCATCCACCTCCAAATTTCTTCTACACATGTAGTTGGTCCTTCTATGCTGGTAGAGAGAAGTTAACATCTAAAATGACTCCTCTTAAAATTAACCCCAAGCCTCTAAGGCTTCCTGTAGAGTCAATGGTGAGAGGAAACACCTGAAGAACCTCAAAGCCAAGACAATGTCTCAACTTGGTTTTCCTTCATCACAGACTGTCCAGGGAGCTGAAGAGGAGCAGTTGTTGAGGTTGGGATGGGGAAAAAAAACCCCAAACCCAAGATTTTTGGCTTTTAATTGTTAGAATTCTTATTGAGTTGCTATCACTGTCACTCCTGTCATCAACAGAGGACTTGACCCTGGACCCTGATTCTGCAAACCATCTCCTCATCCTCTCCGCAGACCTGAAGAGCGTGAGGATGGGCTGTAGGAAACAAGAACTGCCCGACAACCCCAAGAGATTCGACACGAACTCAAGGGTCCTGGCTACCACGGGTTTCAAGTCAGGAAGACATTACTGGGAAGTGGAGGTAGGAGCTTCAGATGGTTGGGCCTTTGGGGTGGCCAAGGAATCCGTCAGAAGGAAAGGTCTGACACAATTTTCTCCAGAAGAAGGGATCTGGGCAGTTCAACAGAATGGAGGTCGTTATTGGGCTGTTACTTCACCTCAGCGTACCCCGTTGTGTCTCAACCAGAAACTCAATAAGGTCAGGGTGTACTTGGATTATGAAGGAGAAGAAGTCTCCTTCTACAACGCTGAGAACATGCAACACATCTTCACCTTCAATGTTGCCTTCCAGGAGAAGGTGTTCCCTCTCTTTTCCGTCTGTTCTACCGTTACCTACATCAAACTCTGCCCTTGAGACTTCTCATGGGCTTGGTTGAGGACTTATCTTCATGAGATGGTGCCTGGACAAAGGTGATGAGCACCCAAAACCTCTTCTAGAAATTAATTAATTCCATTTTCAGCTGGTGGGTTCTTTCCAACCATGAAAATCTAATTTTTTCAATCAGTTGGGCTTTAAATCCAGATTATTTAAAGCTGGAGCAACTCTTGAAAGGTCAAATCATGACCAGGTGAGCAAGAAACCACCTGAATTTTCTCAATTCCATCCATGAAGAAGCCACCAAAGTAGAAATTTTCTAGAGAAATAAAAAACCCAAGAATCCAAAAGGTGAAACAAGATGTTTCTTAACTCATGACTTGATGTTTGTCTTCTTTAGAACCCCCCCAAAAATGTTATTTCTCCAAATCACCTGAGTGGATTTGAGACCTTTCCCAGCCCACGTGCTGGAAATAAAATATGAAGGTGCTACCTGAGCTTCTTTTCTTCTCTTTCTTCTTTCACAACCTCGAATGAGTTGAAGAACATCAACGTTGTGGTTTGAAGGATTGTCCTGTTTGGTGTTTAGGTTGAAAGAAAGAATTTAAGTGAAGGAATATAAATATTGGGGTGGGTTTTTTGGGTGTTATGGGGTGTAGGACAGGTCAAAAACCCCCCAAAATTAAAATAAATAAATGAAATTAATGCTGGAGGTGCCAAGGGTTGAACTTGGACTTTCTTAGGGGTTCAGTGTTGATGTTGAACCCCAAATTTTGGTGTTATGGGGTGTAGGACACTCCAAAAACCCCCAAATTAAAGTAAATAAATTAATGCTGGAGATGCGAAGGGTTGAACTTGGACACTCTCAAGGGTTCAATGTTGATGTTGAACCCCAAATTTTGGTGTTATGGGGTGTAGGACACTCCAAAAACCCCCCAAAATTAAAGTAAACAAATTAAATTAATGCTGGAGGTGCCAGAGGTTGAACTTGGACTTTCTTAGGGGTTCAGTGTTGATGTTGAACCCCAAATTTTGGTGTTAGGGGGTGTAGGACTTGCCAATAAAATAAATTAAACTAATAAAATGATGCTGGAGATGCGAAGGGCTGAGCTTGGACTCTCTTAGGGGTTCAACTTAGAGGTTGAACCCCAAATTTTGGTGTTATGGGGTGTAGGACACTCCAAAAAACCCCCGAAGATTAGAGTAAATAAATGAAATTAGTGCTGGAGATGCCAAGGGTTGAACTTGGACTTTCTTAGTGGTTCAATGTTGATGTTGACCCCCAAATTTTGGAGTTGGGGGTGTAGGTTCCCCTGGTGCTCCTCGCTGCTGCTGTTGCTCTTTGTGTTGATGTTTTGGATGAATTTTGAGGGTGATAAAAATTTGGGGAGAACCCAGCCAATTTCAGGATTTCCCCTCTGAAGGATGTTTTACTGCAGTGGCTCCATAGCTCAGGGGTTAGAGCACTGGTCTTGTAAACCAGGGGTCGCGAGTTCAAATCTCGCTGGGGCCTTTAAGGAATTTTTAATGATTTTTATCCCAAAATCACCATTTTTTTCCTCTGTGTCGGGACTGGGTGGAGATGGGGGG